TCCGAGCCGCGCCAGACTCGAACCTGGTCTGGACTGCTGCAGCTGATCTCTAAACTTCCCGAGTTCAAGATGGAAGGGCCAGAAGCAGAGTCGCTGGGGGCTTTGATGATCAGGCAGGCATTGCTGGCCCCCCGGATGCGAGCCATTGCAGCTGCAGCACGCATCGGTGAGAAGGTCCTGAGCAAGACCATGGTTGTGAACACGAGCCGTGAGCAGCAGAATGACTGGAACCGTCTGGAGAGCGAGCTCTGCTTGGCTCGTGCTGCCTCGTTGACCGACACTACCCGCAACTCTCGTGTTGCGGGTTGGTACAAGGTACAGGAGAAGCTGCAGAAGACTTTCCAGGATGCCACTGCCGATGGAAGTTCCAGCATCATTGTGAAGCCCTCCCATTTGAGGCCGTATTTCCAAGAGGTCTCTCCGCAGGTGGTAGTGTACAACTGCAGCGGCGACACGGAGCTCCATGTCGGAATCATCACCACAGTGTTCCGAGGCGCTGCAGCCAAAAGCAGTGGCACTTCTCGCAAGCTCCGAGTCACAAAACCATCGCTTCACGCACTGACGATGATGTCATGCTCAAAAGTGCGGGTCTATCGCCTGGCCCCAGCATCCGAGCGGAAATTCATGGGCTCTTCAGCCTCACTCCTGGACTTGCTGGACCCGTGCGGCTCCATCCTCGGCGAGGTGAAACCCTCCAGCGTGCAGATCAAGGAGTTCCACCACACCTACATGATCGTCGTGCACCTGTCCAAGGAACAGGTCGACTGCATCCGGAGTCTGCGGGAGGATCCGGCGTCCTGGGCGCCAGTGGACGTGGAGGCTGCTGTGGCCGATGTGGACGAGGAGATGTCTGGCGAGAATGCGATGCAGCTCTACACGCATCGATCGTTCGGCCCCGGAATACGAGGCTCGCAAACTTTGACTGCTTTCTTAAAGAAGCTGCCGTCGATGTATGCTGACCGCGGGATCCCGTTGCTTACCCCAGATGGTCTTCTTGAAGTCAAGGACAAGTCGGAAACAAAGCTCCTGAAATGGGAAGCCACATGTATCAAGGCTCCAGATTGGTTCGAAGCTTCTTTGCACGAGACGCCTACAAAGGACTATGGGAAAACCGTCCTCGCAAAGCTCCTGCAAGTGCATCCGCAGAATGGTGCGAGTGCTCTGAAGAAGCTGAAAACATGGGCCATGGAAATTGAGTTGGCCTCGCCTCCAGTGTCAGATGCTCGGGAATTTCTACACTCACTGTCTCTCTCTCTCTCTCTCTCTCTCTCTCTCTCTCTCGTTCGCCGTGCATTCTACTGAGGCTTGAGTTTTGAGATGTGATTCCGAATGGAATCCTGAATGACGCCAGTATCTCAGAATCATTCAGAAACGGAGTGGCTTTAAACCATGCTGAAGCCGACAAAATCAAGTCGTGCTGTGCACCCAGGCCGATGCCAGGCTGACCCTCCTTTTGAGCTGAAGGCATCGATCCGTTCCGAGCCAGAGACTACAATATCCATCTTGATTCGACAGGCTCCGCGATGCTTGTGCGGTGAATCACCCGGGTTTCGCCGGGCACTCATTGGGGCACGACCCGCACCGTGTCGCGAAAGAGCTCCTGTGCGACTCAGGCTCTGGGCGGCTGTGGCGGCGTGCTGGCAGATCGTCGCGAAAGGGCCGACGATAAAAAAGTAATCAGGGGAATCTATGGGAGTCTGCTGCGGCATGCTGTGTTCAGTGTCATGATTCGCTTGCATGTGCTTGCATGTCTTTGTTGCAACAATGGGGTGGGGGGGGGGGTCAGCAGACCACGTTCCAGACAGAATGAGAGAGAGGGGGGGGGACCCCCAAGTTCAAAATGGAAATTTCCATTTTCAACCCCCCCCCCACCCAAAGAGGGGGGGATGTAGTAGTAGTAGTAGTAGTAGTAGTAGTAGTAGAAGAAGTAGTAGTAGTAGTAGTAGTAGTAGTAGTAGTAATTTGTAGTTGTAGTAGTAGTAGTAGTAGTAGTAGTAGTAGTAGGAGTAGGAGTAGGAGTAGCAGTAGCAGTAGCAGTCGCACTCGCAGTCGTCGCAGTCGCAGTCGCGGTCGTCGTCGTGGTCGTGGTGGTGGGTAGTAGTAGCAATAGCAGTAGTAGCCGTCGCCGTCGTAGCAGTTGGAGTAGGAGTAGGAGTAACAGTAAGCACCAGGAGCTGCTGCCTTTCCTGCTGCTATTGCTGCTTCTGTCTTTCTTGCCTGTCCTCTTCTTGCTTTGGTTTGGCTCCTCCCGATTAAACGTTGATGGGTCACCTGGACTGCTTGTTTAAAAGAGTCTGTCACACGGGGCTCAATATCCGGGAGGAGGTAGTTGTGCGATGTGCTGAGGTCTTTTGTGTTCGCGATCATGATACCGTGTGGATTATATTGCACTACATGTGTCTCGCTTGTTTGTAAAGCATGCCTGTGCTGCTGCTACGGATGCACAGGCTTGGCATTATCTCAACAGCGTAGTTCCAGTTTCAGCAGTGTGTGCTCCAGACACCAATCACTCAAAACCCAAGCACCTTCTTGTCAACGGCCTGTCCTAAGGAAGACAGTGCACGGCGCCGTGCGTAATGAAAACAGTTGCCAGCAAGAGACTGCATACTTGATTCGTATTCCCGCCTCTAGCCCTGAATCACCACGACAAACTAGCGTAAGACCTGACGAGCCCTATGGAAACAGCCCCTATTGAGAACTGTTCAAGCAAGAAGTCAGCAGTCTTCCCAGGCTCCGACGTGGCCAAGGCTTTTCCACGGCGCCTCTCCCACGGCCGAAGTCGGCCCTTGGGAAGCTGCACGGCAGGGGCACAAGCGGGAGCAGGACTTGGGTCGTGTCCAATGTAGTGGTAGTGGTAGTGGTAGTGGTAGTGGTAGTCGTAGTCGTAGTCGTAGTCGTAGTCGTAGTAGTAGTAGTAGTAGTAGTAGTAGTAGTAGTAGAAGTAGTGCGGCTGCTGCTGCTACCGCTACTCCTGCTACTCCTGCTGCTGCTGCTACTACTGCTACTACTAGTGTTACTTACTGAACAAGACTACTAGAACTTGTGCTACTAGCATTCCTTGCACTACCAGTACCGCTAGCCCAGCAGGACTCGTAGTATCACCGGTGCTACTAGTAGTGGTGAGCGTGGCCTTAAGGGTTCAGAGTCGAGGTGCACCGCGTTCATTGTGTCCTTGGGCATGTAGCACGGTATGTTACGGGCCCGAAGCTCTGCCCCAGATGGCATTTGGGGTGAAGAAGGTACAGAGCCAATTTGACCGACACATGCAGAGGGCTTTCGTTGACGCCTGCTCTTGCGCTGCCCATCATGTGTGCCGATCGTCGGGACCTTTGGGTGCCCAACAGCTGAGCCCGCGGACATCGACGTTTGGCAAGTTCTCAGAGGGTTGTCATCGTAAGCTACTTTCCACCTATGCCTTTTGGAGCTGAATTGCCAGCTGCTGTTGTTGCTTCCCTCGCTGCTGTAGTCAGCGCAGCATTAGTTTTTCAACTTTGTCACACAGGCTCCGGATGTCGCTCTGCGAGACTATACTAGACCCTGACTGCGAACTTGCCAGACTCCTACACCATGGGGGTGTTCCTGTGGAAGCTGAACAGGTCGTCAATTACCCTCAACAGCGAAGTACCTGGCCTTACAGATGCTTTCCAGACTTGAAGAGCCCACGATCCAGATGATTAGGCTGGGTATTTGCCGTGCAAAGAACAACTCTGCCTGCTGAGGGGTTGTGCGTTCGTGTTGACGCAATCCTGAGAGAGTCCCCGTCTTGAAGTCTGGAACTATGTGGAGGTAGCAGCGGCAACAGCTAGGGGTGTACTTCGTTTTTGTGCGTGTGCGTGTTTGTTGGTTTGTTCGTTTGTTTGTTTGCTTGTTTGTTTGTTAGTGCGCGTGACAGTGTGTTTCTGCGGACGCCAAACAGGCAGCTGCAATAGCTTGTTAGAGTTGAAGCCTCTGCCGACCGAGATGCTGTTGCAGTATTGGAGCGGTTGTGTGGTTGAGTTACGGTTTCGGCCCTTTCCTTTCATCATGCATGGTAGTCCCGTGCGCGATGACCCAACAAGACGTGACACCATGCTTCTGCAGAGAACAGTCTGGGTTGTCGTGGAAAAGATTCGCTAGGCAAACAACGACGTGGAGATCTCTACAGCAACAAGCGACTGTACAGTAGTAGACATAACCATAGTCACAGTCACGAGCACGGAACATAAGTAGCAGAAGGACTTGGTAATGGTGACCACGGCCCGTAGGTGGCGGTAGCAGTCAAAATTCTTCACAGTGACACCAATAGTTAATCGTGATTCTTCGTGCAAGCAGCATAAACTGTGTCCCAAATCCGAAAGGCAATTTGTAAGAGAGTTGCAGTTTGGGCATTCTGTGCACCTTCCTTGTCCGAAATATGGAACCCAAAAGCCAAAACGTGTCGTGTCCCGAGCTGTGTATGTTCCCATACAGCCAACACGCTCTGAGCCCCTCGGTTGCTTGGGCCCTAAACCTGAGCTTCTCTGACCCTCGACACGACAACCCAGAAGTTTTGCTGGCTTGGGTACCCCTTTGACGTGCCAGGCCAGTCGCTAGGCAAGCAGACCGGATAGGTGCCAAGAGCTTCTTACTCAGCGACAAAGAAGAACCCATATGGAGGCTACTCAGCCGGGACATGCCACCAAATCCTCTATCACGCTGGTTAAAGAGTAGAACTGACATCGCACATCACGAAGCCTGTATTTGCTCATCCGTGAGACAACCCAACAGCAAGTGCAGGACAGTTTTCCATGTCGGCACGGCTCTGCCTTCGCACTGTCCTTCAAGAGCTTAGCTCTGCACAGACTCAAGTCGCCATACATTCCCACCCTTTCTCACAGCCACCCAAACCCCAACTTGTCCCAGAGGTCCTGGGCCATGCAAAACCCCGGAACCGGAAGCCAGACCCACGTCCGGATCGGAAGTGAGCCCCCGTAGACTGCAGACCCATTATTTGCCTGCAACAGCCTGCAACTGCCTGCAACATGGACGCCTCCGCCGTTGCCGTCATTGTGGTCGCCAGCACTTTGGGCGCGTTCTGCCGAGCAGCCACAGGCCGAGGGTCTTTGGGACAGACCTCGTCCGAGTCAGACTCCTAGCTGGGTGCCACTGCTGGAAGAGTCCCATGTCGACCCTCTAGGTTTCGGCGGCTCCATTCTCTTCATCCTGGTGCACCTTGCCGGGACAATCACGGGTTCCACGAGCTGTAAATGCTCACAGCCTCGAGTTTCTTCACTCTGAGGGCCGTTAGGGCCGTTGCATTACAAGGTACAGCCTCGCGAATCAGCTGCATCTGGCTTCTGGCCTGGAGAGTGCTGTGTTGATGGTGGTTCTTGGCACCGTCTTCGAGTGTCTTGTCACGAGAAGTCATTACATGTCTGACGGTGCACAGGCTGCAGTGGCAACTGGCGGGAAGACGGGAGCTTGCCAAGCCACAAATCCTAACAACACTTCCCTCATGGCAAACACGGGGTTTTGTCTTCAACTGCCAAACCAAGGTTCAGCACCTCGACCGTGCTCTTTCTGGCCGTAGCCAGACGAACCTGCAGCTTGTGGCGCAGCTTGCTTCCGCAGATATGTTGTAAGAGGGCTATCTTTCCTGGTTTACTGAATCCTGGTCCTCTGTTCCAGACAAAGACTCCGACTTGGACAGCCACAGTTGACAGCCACTCCTCTGCCAGTGGTGTGCAAGAGTCTGCAGGTCAACCTCTCTGCGACTCCTTTCTCTTGTCTCTTGTGGTTCAGGTTTTGAAGCCCCGATGTTGCACTCTCCCCTTGCTGTGCACAGCCCTGAGGCCCTGAGGTCTGCTCACTCCGCTTTAAAAAGGTTTCGCAGCAGCGAAAGCTGGCCAAGGCAATCTTCTGCTCTTGTCCGTGCCTGGGTTGCCGGGCACGGCTCTGGGGCTATACATCCTGGTGTGCCTCGTAAGCACGTGCAGAGAGGAAGTGCAGGCGACAGTTGATGACTGCGACAAAATCAAACGAAGACTGTCTGGGTGGAGCGGCTTGAGGATTGCATGATCTCTTCATGTGAGCGTCCCTGGAGTTAGTCACGACGTGTGCCGACTGTCACGCAGTGAAGACTCTGCTTGTAGCCCAGATATCTCGCGCTTCTGGCCAGATCTAGTTTACGCGGCTGCAGTGCCACGAGTAAGTCGTGGCAGGCAGACTGGCGAGAACAAATCCATCCTGGAGATGGTGAAGACCTGCCTGAACTTGACATTCGCCCTGGTCGCTCTCTTCAAGATCACCATGGAGCTGGGTCTCGCTTGTTTATCACTCTCTGATCGCTAGTCTGCTGGTGGCGACTGCAGTGTCCAAAGTAGAGGGATGCTGTTGCAGAAGGCGGTCACTGTCAGGAAAGCATCGAGACTGTAATTTGTTCCGTTTCTGATGACACGACCGCTGACACACCAGAAGCACAATGCGCAAATCTAGGTAAGCAGGTTTAGCTGCAGCTATCATGATAACCAGAGTACACTGAGCACGTTGCAATAGCTACACCGCTGGTCCATCACAAGTCCAGCGACAAGCCCAGTGCTGCCTGAAGGAGTTCCGGGCCTATGCTAAAGCACGACGCGCAAACGAGGCATTGCACATCACGGAGGCACGCTTGAACCAGACATGTAGGACTCTGTACTAGTAGGACGTACTCTGCCCTCGAAGTGTCCGGCCAAGCGGCAGCTCAGGCCAGGACCTGGCTTTGATTTTCAGCTTGTTCCGGAGAAAGGCGGCGCCTCTTGCAACCCAAGGTGCTCGACGAGGACGTCGACACCGAACTCTGCAAAAAGATGGGAATACAGCCACTTCTCTTTCATATTGTGCCCCAAGTAAAAAGCAACAACAACTTGATGCACTAGACAGAGCGGAATCAGATTCCGACACTAGTCCCGTCCCTTGGCAATAGTGCCTTTGGAGTACGATGCATCATTGAAGCTCCCGTTCAGTGTCCGACTCAGCGATCCACAACCTGCAACTCCCATTTCAGTTTAATCAATGCGACCGCAGCCGAAGACTGCAGAGCAGAATCCCCCGTCCCACGATCCACTGCACCTCTGTCCTGCCAGCCCAAAGTTGGAATGCTCCAACTGCGGGCACTTGAGCCGCAGAGGTTCACCCTCGTGGGCTTCTCCTGCGGCTTTCTGAATGGCCTCATGGGTCTTCCAGGTCCGCTGATGATGGCACCTTGCCCTTGACATGGTGACCGGCTTGGAACGAGGTTCGTTTAGGGCTAGTGCAAGGTGTTTGGGCGTGGCAGACTCTTCCAAAGGCCAGGCCTTGCTATGTCACCGCGGCAGCCCAGAGTCTTTGACATTTGACATCTCATCATGGGATGGAGACAGCCTTCCCCAGAGTACTTGGTCCTAGATTTGCCGAGGTGCACTTTGCGCAGGCGCTGTCCAATAAGAAGATGACGGCCAACACCTGCTACACGCTGACGCAAGCGTTTTTCATGCTGACCACAGTGATGCGACACTTTGCATTCGTTCGTGTTCCTTCTTTTGGCATCTGCCATGTTCAGCTTCAGCGTGGCGACTTTGTCTTTTCGGGTACTGTGTGGGGAAGCCAAGCGCTTTTGGGCCACTTCAAGATCCTGCAAAGTTTAGCCCGCGACCTTCACCATTGTCTGTTCATGTTTAGATCGCTCCAGCCAACTTCTGCAGCATCGATGCAAGCCGAAAACCATCCAGGCCAAGTCCCGAGCCCAAAGCAAGCACTGCAAGGATTGTCTTCCCTCACCTCACCGGAGGTTCGTGAGGACCACAGGGAGGGACAGTTCTTTAATATGGGGCTGAGCGACGCATCTTGAAGCGGCCCCTTGTTGAGATCCGGGCCTCAGGTTCAAGCTAGCGACGAAGTATGGTGGAGTACGAAGATTTTGTAAAAGATGAAGCCAGGCAAGCGCTACAGCAGAGTGCGAGATTCAGCATGAATCGAAGCAATAGCGTTTCAAAATCGATGCGCCGAGGAGTTGGCTGCCCATTGGCACCTTGCCCTCGTGATTCCGCTGCCCTCGCTGGTGGCCTTGGCAGAAAATTAGATGAGTCCCAACTGGAGCACCGAAATGTCGGCAAGCGGCCAGAGAGAGCGAAAATCCCTCGTCTCACTTCGGCGGCGGCTCTTCGGCCCAGTGGTTGTAATCGCGGGAGCGCTTCAACTCGCTCGCTCGAATGCCCAGGGCAGCGCATGCATCCGCTCCTCACAGGTGGCGCTGGGTTGCGGCTGGGAGGTCCGGAAGCGCGCCTTGGCCTGGGCTCAGAGTGGCCGCATGGCATGGCCGGCCCGTGTCAGTGGGCGGGGATTTGGGCTGCTGAAGTGGTGCCGAGCAGATCGCATAGAAGTTGCTCATTAGGGCATATTAAATGGCATATTAGGGCTTATCGCAGCCCAAGTCCGGAGCTCTTAATCCGAAGTTGACAACTCCGTTCCACAAGCTCTCCAAAGCGAAGTGGTCACACTCACAAGCAGACAGGCAAGCCGAAGTGACCGTGCAAGGTAGGCTCATGCGGAAATGGTTCTTGTACACGTGTTCTGCCTTCGCCTGCGTGTGCAGCAGAGCCAAAGTTGATGTCTAGGCTTCAACACGACGCTGCTGCTGCGATGCGTCATCGCCTTGCTTCTCCTCTCCTCGCTGACGCATGGCCCAAAGCCTAGCCTAGGCACAGGGACGGGGATGCTCGGATGCTCTGCGCTGAGAACAATAGTAATTATAGCCATAATAGTAAGAATAACTACAGTACTACTCAAATCAATAACCTGAAGAATTTGAATGAAAAGACTATGAAGGGTATTAGGAAGGAGAGAGGCGAGATTTTGGTCTCAGGATGGGCCTCGGGATCCTCGAGAGCTCCGCCCTTGGTTTCTGGGCCCTCGGCCCCTTGGCCGCTGAGGGAGGCGAGCCTTGCGAGCCAGGGAGCCTCAGGGATTTTTGAGGCTTTTTAGGGGCTTCTGTAGGTTGGGAGAAGTCTTTCTTGCTTTTGGGAATCTATGGGGCCCGACAGAGCTTTGACAACCGAGGGTGCTGTCCTCCGGTGTTCTGAGTCGACCAGCCTAGACTCCTAGACATGCATCGTAAGCAGGGGTCGGAACTTGGCATGGCGTCCGCTATTGCCGGTTATGGCCGCCCATTGCATGAGCCTTCCGTGTCTTGAGCCGAGACGGCCCGGACGCGTAACTCCAACCCCCTGCAGGTCAGAGGTTTCAGTGCAGTGGAAGCATGCAGCAGGGCTGTGCTGGATGCGCTTGTGGTACCATGCTGCTGTCGCGAATCTCACAATTTTTGCAGCAGAGAAGTGGAGTTCTCGTGGAGCTGAACGGAAGCCATGGAGGGCTGTGTGGACTTAGAGCCTGGGGTCGAGATGTGCCGTGCTGGCACTGCAAACCGGGCCCAGGTGTTACCTTGTTTTGGTTGCTGCTCACCGTGTCCGCCTCTTGCCACGCATCAGATCCCAGCTCCTCTGTAAACATGTTTGGGTTCCGCCTGCCTGCTTGGCCGAGGACCCTGTATGTTTTAGATGCGGCAGTGCACAGACTAACGGGCACTCCATACTCCGTGGATGTAAAGCGCGGGCCATCTGGACTTGTGACACCTCTGCTGGTACCAGTAGCTGCAGATCTTGCAAGCAGTGTACACAGAGATCTACTCAGCCACTGTCCAAGCCGCCATGAAAGCTACACGACCCCCGGAATTCCGAGGCCCCCTGCATTTGCCACAGAAATGAAGCCACAAGTTTTAGAAGATTCCGGACACGAGCGTAAGCTGACGAGAGTGCCCAAGGTGAGCCTCAGCACATGTGCCTGTCTAAAGAGGCAGGCTGGTCAGGAGGCTGGGCCGTGTTAACAGGAGTAGGAGCCGTAGTGGTGGTGGCAGTGGTCCTAGTGGTAGTAGTAGTTGTAATGTGGTAGTAGCAGCAGCAGCTGCTTCTGATGTCGATTCACTAGTTCTAAGTTTGCTACTGTTCATCATCTGGGTTTCGGCTCGATCCGGGTTCACTAGTCAACAGTTGTGTAGACATGAAGCATTAAACACATGCTACACGCGAAATAACTGTCTCACATATTCGTTTAGCTTGGCATCAGACATACTGACATATCCGTCATTGGACATCAACCGTCATTGGACATCAACTGGTCATCCAACAGTGGCCTCCATACATATTGGATAAATACTAACCTGTGATACGATTCTTTGATTCGATGGCATGTGAGTACGGACAAACCAACATCCGTTCGATATTAGTACAGAGTTGACCACCCAAGCCGAAGTTTACTTGAATACACGAACACCTGGCTGCCTTTGTTGCTTGTTGCTTTAGTTACAACATAACAAACCGATTCGATTCGTTTGTGACACAGATGATACTGCCAGTGGAGATGACGGTTATTGTTGTTACTGGTGTTGTTAATACTCCTGTCACTGTAGCTAGTAATTAGTATTGCGGCATTAGGCAAACAAAATGCTGAGAACCCATGTCACACACGCATGAATGTTGTTGTCACTCGTGCACGAAGCTATGTAATGCAGCTGTTTGTATTCATAATGACGATGAATGTGGCATCCACTCTTAATTTGTAAGCTGTACATGTGTGTATGTATGTCTACTACAAACTGCAGCGACCGGCTGTACGATAGATAGCTTCTCTCACGACTCCATGAGATGTGGCATCATGGTGGATTCAAGACATGCTCTTCTGCAACGCCGATATCGTAACAAAGAATAAGTTGGAAGGACATGCCAATCCAGGTGGCAAAACCAAGCCAGTTATAATCCAATGTCCGTGGAAACGAATCCATCAACACTTCTTCGATATCTTTCGTTTGAAAGTGGCTCTTGTTTATTTCAATCCGTTCAATCCAGTACTTGGACTATACTTTGATGAATACTCCTGCTGATTGTGACATGAGTAGTGTGTCCGCCTCTCCCAAAAACATGCTGGAAACTCGCCGGGTGTCCAGCATTGCCTCAACTTACCACTTTCGTTGTGTCATGCGAGGTGCGTGCTACATTGTGAAAGTTGCGTAGTTGGTTCGATCTGAAAGTCTCTCCGCTGAGTGCCGGTCAGAGTTTAATCGTGAAACTTATAGTGTTCCGCAGCAGCGTGGCTCCTGGTGTGTGCAAAAAGGCCTGTTGCGCATGGCATCAGCGGTGCTGTGCGGATTTGCTGTCAACATTGGCAGCGGAGCAGGGGCTCCATGACATCCACGGCGGATGTCCAGGCGGGGACGGCGGCTCAGGGGGATCCTACAAGCATCGACCCCCTTCCTAGCAGTGGCTCAGCAGCAGTGTCTGGCTGGTGGAACGGCTGGAATGAGGATGCAAGCTGGTGGCAGCATGGCAGTTCTTGGGGTTCCTATGCAGGGCCTCGCTGGCATTCCTATGGCTATGGAGGCTGGCACTCACAGCAGGGACCCAGTTGGTCCGATGATCAGTGGCGAACCAAGCAGTGGGGAGAAGATTCGGTTGCCGGGCAGAAGACTGGGCAGCAGCAATCTTCGAGTTCAGGTGAGCTACCTGGTGAAGCGTCGGAAGAGCCGACCGCAGCAAGGAGACAGTCAGTCTCCAC